GTGAGCCACTGTGCCTCTAACTGTTAGCAATGGCTAAAATCATAATGTACATGGAAGATGTATCAGACACCTCACACCTAGCAATGTAAGACAAAAATTACACAGTACTAGGAACTAGAGTATTAACATACCAAGAAGATATGTCTGAGAGCTTGGGCTTTAGGATGAAGTACTTCAGCCCTAGGCCACCAACTCAGAGGAGTCTAGACAAAAGGTGGAAGTAAAAGGTAAAGTCAATTGTCAAGAAATTTGAGATACACGACATACTATGAAAGAAAGGCCTGTTGTCCAACACCAGACCTCTATGGACTAGTAGATTTAGCACGCTTTCCAATACAACTGGTCACGCCAACTGTTGCAAAGTAAAATCACATTCTCTGGTCAAACTGGGTTAGCTAACCAAGTTGAATGGCTCATATCATAACTTTGCATTCTTATCCCCAATCTTCTGCATGTGTGAAAATCTACTTAACATCTGGAAACATAAGGCAATGAACCAGTTTGTTGAAGTGGAGCACTCTATTTTGGACCAACTTCTCTAACCAATCAAATTAGATCAAAAGTCCAATTTGATTGGTTTCTTTGATGGTGATTGACAGGTGCCCTTTTATACTCAAGCATGTCCAGAACCTTTGGGTAAATGCTTAACACAAATGATCTACAATAGCTAACTAAAAAAAGTAAATGAAGATTGTGGATCACAAGTGGATCACAGATTTAACTATGCCAGTTTACTTTTGCCCTGATTTATAGCATACTGCACCTCTTTCACAATGGCATAAGTTCCTTTCACATAGACAAAATGGTAGATGATGGGAGAGTTTGGCTGGAGGCAGATGTCAAAATGCTGGTTGTTTCTGTAGTTGATTCGGAAACTTGACACAAAGCAATCAACCATTAGCTGCTCTGTTGTGAAAAAGCTGCCAGATCCTAAAGAGAATGGCTTGCTTACATTGAAGAGTAATGCCTGAAAAAAGCACAATGATTGTGTTACAAAACGATAATCAACTTTATTCATCTACAGCTGATAAATGTAACTGCAATTTTGTAAATCAAACTGGTATTAAGAGAAAGAGAATTTTAAAAGCTTACATAAAGTATTTTGCAAGAAGTAAATTTCCGTTTTTTAAGACAGAGTTGCAAACACGTGAATGTACTTAAGTCGAGTTTAAAAGTTTCCCATATTCCAAAGAGAAGGGTGCAAAGCACTTGAGAAATTCAGAAATTATGATTAGGGTTAATTACAGTTTAGCTTCATACTTTCCTTAAAATTTTTCAGCTTTAAAAACCTCACCACCAACCTCAGAATTTTCAATGACCTTCAAAGGGATGGGTATGGATATTTTCTGAACCCACACATTGCCAAAATGTAGACTTCCATTTTTAGCATGAAGTGACTCGAGGGGTATGGCTACTCCTCTTTCAGGAGATGCTACTCAATAACGGATTACCTCTTGAGCATTTAGTCAGGTTTCTAAAATAAGTTTGCCAATACCCATCAGTGGAGAGAGGAACAATGAAAGTAACTCATTTTGCTTTACAACAGAGAAGGAGACTGTGCTTCAACTCTTAACCTCCCAATCCCAAGTCCAATAATTTAAGCAATGCTCAAATGACAACTGTATGAAAAAAGCACTGCACATTTCCATACCTTTAATTCATTGAGCATGGTGACAACCAGGAAGCAGAGCACAGAGTTGTCCTCAGGTTTCATGTAAGTTGCTACCTTGCAGAGTTTGACGCAAACTACGGCTGCACTCTCAGTCAGATGCTTAGTGCTGGTAAGCGCCTTCTTCAGGTGATCAAGAAACTCTTTCTAACAGAACCAAAGAGAACATGAGAGTTTACATGAACCCAAGTTATCTCCACAAGGAGACAAATTGAAATCTATTGGACAGGATTGATTTTGACAACACTTATCCACTGGTAGTGATTTAACTGGTGAACAACTTTGTACACCTTTTCAGCAACTGAACCAAGGGTACAGTTCACATGGGTATTTAATAGCAATTTCACTTCCATGAATTAATTTTTAAGTTATAAATTTCCCAAGACCTGAGAAGATGACAGAGCTTACCTTGTTGGCCTTGCTGACATCAAACACTTTTTCACTTGTAGCTATCTGTTCCAGCATGTTCTGATGAAAGAAAAAAATCTTCCTACTTGAATGTAAGAATAATTGAGGGCGAAAGATATTAAACTACATGTATACTGTAAATCAAGGACAGTTAATCTTGAGGAATTTTGCCAGTTGGGCTTTCATGATGAGTCTCTTATTCTCTAAAGGTTACCATCTTTTTTCCAAAAATAATTATTTTGGTCCATTATCAACTGGCTGTTTTACTGGGGTACCTAACACAGTTTTGTGTGTAAATAACATATTTATCCTGGGGTTCCTTCATGAAAAACAAGTCCATTCTTTTGACATCCTCATCTTTTTCCTTATTGAACACTGATGTTGGTGTTTTAGATCTCGTCATCACCACTTATGTGACCACAATCACCAGCAGCTACAACTGTCAATAGCATTGGCATCATCGGCAGAGTCATCATCATCATAATACCTACCACCCTCCATCATAATCACATTTGCCACCATAAACATCATCAACAGCAGCAGCAGCACCAAGTTTAAATCACCACCAACACCATCGCAGTCTTCACATACAGGTATTATTATAACATAAACATTATTGTATTGTATGACAATTAAAGGTATTTTCTTACTGGGCATAAAATAAGCAGCATTATTTGAAGTGGCCATACTGCAGCTTTCCTTTTGGAACTCTCCGCAAAATTATCTACCAGATCAAAGAGCTTTTCTGCATACTCTGAAAAAATTTCAAAGATGCACTGGATAAACAGCCTGCACTAAATTCTGTCTATATTTTTTAACATGTAAACCAAAAATGTTCCTGTCTGGCATGCCCAATCAGTCAATAACATGAAATGTATACCTGAAAGTTCAGGGGAGGGTTGTCTTTGCAACCGTGCAAACTCATCTGGACTATTCTCAACCCAGTTCCATATTGCCTGAAAAAAAAGGAGGAAGCACAAAAATGAAACATTAAACTATAATTATGTACTTGAAATAATATCATCACAGCTTCATTGTACTCATACAATTGCATGCACATGGTTTAAGTATTACCATCATCATCATCATCAAAGTTATTATTGACATGGTTATGTTACCTTTTCTAATCCAGATACTAATGCAAGTTGACCAATCTTCTTCAAGGATCTAAATACTTGAATGCTCTCTGAAAGAAAAGTTTGTGAGATACATGTACATGTACATTATACACAATGTATTCTAAAGAGTTATGTTCATAAAATTAAGCACATGTATGTACAGTGTAGCTTTAATCTTGGTTAGTGGGTGGATGGATGGATGGAGAGTAACCAAAAACATGTACAGTACTTCCTCTGTCACTATTTATACAAGTTACACACACAAAGTAACACGATTCATATCTTTTCCATTTTGGTGCCATTCCTTCCTGTCCTTACTCCAACAGCCTTAACTACCCTGGCTTGCTAGTCTGGTGGGGTTTGCATATATTTTAAGATTAAGCAACCTGGTTGTTTTGTTTGAAAGCAGTTTAATCTTGAATTTGTTCTTTAAATTAAATTATTTCAAAATATTTTCTACCTTGCAAGAGAATTTTGAGAGAAGACACATTCACATGTAAATGTCGAATGAGCTCTAGATCACCAGTATCAGAGTTATCTTCAGTGTTTGCAAGAACATGTAGCCTGCAAATTAAAATACCACACGGTGTGTAATACATTCGGCATATATGCAAATGTGGCAGAATTTTAATAATATGTGATTAATTAATGACTGAAACTAACCAAGGACAGACTTTCTTCTTACTTGGACCACAATAACTGAGCAGTTCCAGGGAATACCTGCACCCATCCCAGAGCTAGTCTAATTCTGGGGGGAGGCTTAAAAGTTCTCATTTGTGATGGGTAGCACAGTATGAAACCAAACTGGAATTTTCAGAAGGGGTAGAAGGAGGGTCAAGCCAAAAGCCTTCTGTAGGGGAGAATATTTATTAGTTAATATATTTTCTGCAAAAATATAAATTGAATTTTCAAACAATTTAAAATCAGCATGAAAATTCTGTTGAGGCACTGTTGAGTCATTGCATTTGAAAGTGCTCCATCAACAATGGCCAGTTAATGCTATCTGACAAAACCCATTTAGAGAGGTTCAACAGTGAAACATTAAAAGACAGTATGTGTGTAGCTAACAAACAGTAAGGGACAGTTTAGTAAAAACAAGGTTAAGGACATTCAGTATTTGAATAAGAAAATGTTTACCTTATTGCAATGCGATTAAAGAGAGCAGAGAAGTGATGAACACTGATGTATGACAGAACTCTACCAGCTAGGGTTTTCTGTTCAGCTTCCAAAGGAAATCCATTTGACTGAGTTATGAACTATTTAAAGGAACATTCAACAAACCAATTTTGATAAATCAAAAATCTCACACATACGTGTAGATCTTAGATTTTGAAAATGTACCTTTGTGCAACTGGGTGACATGCACAGGATCACTAACAAGTATTGGTTCAGACATGCATGCTCCAGATGACAATTCTTAGTGCATGTACCAAGGTCAGCTGGCACTTAACTTGGTTTCTCCAGAACACAACTCATGACCCAGGGCAGGGCTTGAATCTGGGCCACTTGGTCCAGAGTACAGCACACTAACCATTAGGCCATCACACTTCCCCCAGGGTATAACAAAAACCAGGTTAAAACTTCATTTGTAACTGGATATAGCTAGATCTATACTAGGTCAAACACCACAGGCCAGGGCTGATAACTTTTCAAGTACATATACACATTAACCATGTTGATTGTTAACAGGCAGATAACACTATATTCAGCTGCTGTATACCCGCTATATCGGAGCTGAGCATGCATTAATTTATATAAAAATAATTGAACTTGTGTGGAAATTGTGGAAATTATAATGTATGTACAATATGTGTTCCAGATGTTGTGTTGCCAGCACAATCACCATTCCTTTTCAGATGTTGATATTTTAATTTGCTTTTTCATGCTATACTCTAAACTAAAAGAGAGGATTGTGTTCCTATGTTTTCTAAGGACATACAGTAATGCACTTTTGAGATCAAGGAAAACTGTTAAATGCACCTACATTCTGCTCCTTCATCCACTAGAAGTTTTTCTCGAACCCAAGCATGCATTACTTTCTTGGAGAACATGAAACACCATTTTCTATTTGGTAAATTTTATTTTTAATCATTAAGAAATACCTGGCACATTGCAGGAAGCAGACGTTTATTTAGAACCTCATCAGGCAAGGCTGCACATTTGTCTGGATTCTGAAGAAATGAAAAGACAAGTTTTAACTGACCACAACTATGCATGCCACACTAATACCATCAGAATCACACATATTAATTTAAAGTTTTTTATATATATTAACCTTTCATTAATTTTTGACTTCTTTTTGACAACTTCCTGAATAAACTGATGGAGTTAACACAGCAAACATGGGCGACAAGCATCTTACTCCACCCTTAAACAATGATTGATTGATCAAATCAAACAGTCAGCTATCAGTAAGTTGTCATAAGGATGTCCAAGATCATTCATGAACATGGAGACATCTCTTTGCTTGAAACATCAGTAAGCAAGCTTCAAAAATATGCTCAACCATATTTAACACAAGCATGCTTATCATCAAGACAAGATCAAAGACTTTTAAGAGATCTTCACTAGATGCAAACTTTATTTTAAGCCTAGCAGTTGGTTTTAAAATGTTGACCCTACATAGGAGATCAGACTAGACTGCTGTCTGTTAACTTACCTTTTCAAAACATTGAGCCATAGTATCTATTGTGATACTGTTGGACTGAGAAGCAAGTGTCACCTTTTCTGTTGAAAGGGAGCACTAAACAAAAGAGAAAGAACTGCTTACTATATAAGAATATATAATACTGTGACATCATGTCACCGGCCATAGGTAAATAGGCATACATGTCCATGTAGATTGGGAAAAGGTAATCACAGGGCAATGCTGTGTTGTAGCAAGCCTGTTTCTCTTGGTCTGGGTAAATCTGGGGCAAAGATCTCAGGGGTTTTTGTTCTACTATCAAAACAAGAAGCTTGATAAAACTTCTAACAGGGAGTCAAGAAAGGCAATTATTGCAATTTTCCTTGAAAGACAGCTGTTTGAAAGATCTAAAGCCCCGGCCAAACGATAACAGTATTTCAATGTAACATATCACAACTTTGTTGGGCGCAGGATGTTGTGTGCGTTTGGCCACCCTGTTGTGACATGTTGCGACATGTTGGGTGTTGTTGGCTCAAATTTGAAAATGGTCAAATTTTTCATGCAACATTAATTTGTGGATGTTGCATGATGCTGTAGTCATTTGGCCAGGTTCATGCAACAATGTTGTGCCTGGGCATGTGCACTAATTCGATTTTCAATAACCAACATGTCGTAACAGGGTGGCCAAATGCATGCAACATGTTGCACCCAACAATGTTCTGATATGTTGCATTCAAATGTTACGATCATTTGGCCACAGCTTGCAAATGCTGGGCCAACAATGTTGGGATATGTTGTGCTGAAATGTTGCGATCATTTAGCCGGGGCTTAACACAGTTTATTTGAAGCTAACCTCTAAACAGTTTTTGTCCAAATATTTCTAAAGCTATTTATGTGGAGGCACGACAGAACAAAAACCAAAGGGTATATATATCTCATAGCACAATCTGGGATAGCTTACCCTTAACAAAAATGTACAAGGTACTAACTGAAGATAATTTTAACTAAATTTATACAGGGAATTTATTGACAGCCAAATTGATATTGGAGCCCAGCTAACCACCATTAGGTAAGCAGACTTACTTTGCTCTACAAAATAAAACAAGCCAAGTAAGTTTGACAGACTACTAAAACAACACTAAGCAAGACAGGGGGAGGGGAGAACAATAACTGGCCATATACATACATGTAATATACACTTTTGCCTAAAAGTATAAATTAAATTGTGGCTCAAAAAAAAATTGAAATCCAGCTTGCCCTTTGGACAAGCAGCTCTCAAATGCTGTTTGCCCTGGGCAAGTCTTAGTTTACTTAAATTTTTTAATTACTTGGCAGACAACTCGTCTGAGCCCTTGTCCACTGGACAAGTGAGAAATATGAAAAGTTATTTCCCCGACAAGAAAATCTACTTATAAGTCCCGGATGAACAGATGGCTCTTGTTAATTTTTTTGAGCCCTGCCAATCTGCAAATTACGCTGTTTGTTCATTTCTTGTTATTTTTTTTGTCATTATTTATAGTTGATAATGAAGAAAATACTTTCATTTTGGAGACAGGCATTTACTCACCAGAAAAGGTGGCTCCTTGATGAAGTATGCAAGTTCAGCAACCACCATGTTGAAATTGTGTTCACTAAGACTGATGACACAGTTCTTGATGTGTTCTCTGCTTTCATGATTTTGCTTGGAACGGGATGATTCAAATGGCAGCTAAAATATATCAGTATACACTAAATGTACATAAAATTGTAGGACAGGTATCTAATGATAACTGGCATGGCATGGTACAAGAACAAAACTTCCAGCCAGCATTACAAATTTTGGGAAAATTTAAGACAGTTAAATTCAAGTACCACTCTAGTGACTGTCTAAAATTTTCTGTCCCAAAATTTGTGTTTGGCTAGAGCTGCATATGTTTGCATTTGCTTTCACAGATAAACACCCATTGGACCCTAAAAGAACACAGCAGTCTATTATTTGAAGAAGATTATAAACAAAAAAATTGTTCAACACAGAACATACACTACTGTCATTGAATACAAAATAATCAAAATTCTTACAAGCCTCTGTCTGTTTACTGTTAATTATGACAAAAAAAGGCAGAGCCAAACCCTACAATAAAAGGGTCCTTAATATATATCATATCCCTTTGATTGGATCAACATAATGGTGCTTAAAAATAAGTGCTTGCGAGGTTAACATGGACACATGTACCAATGCTAAATCAGAACATACTGTCCTGGTGCCACCATTTTATTGTTATTATTATTATTTTTTTTTTTTACTGTCCAGAGCTCTGAAACTACTGGTGACAAGTTTCATGTGGGATCAGACAGCCTAATTCATTTATGCAAGTTCTGCACCCAGAATGAGTTAAGCTGATCTGATCTTGGGATGATGTTGATTTATTTTATTCACAGTCAAAAGATTTGTACAGAAACTGATATGAAATTCATACCATACTTGTGTCATCACCCCTTAATTTACATATACAGGCATTGGCAGCCTAAAGAATCAGTAACATCCTAGATGTCAAAATTTAAATTATTGGAGAAAAAACCTCTCCACTGTCATAGCCCTTTACTTGAATGTACAAGACATTTTACTACCATTAACGTCTTCGATGCACGACAAAAAAGCAGTCAATACGCTTATTGTTAAATTCCTGGCTGAATAAGTCATGTCAAGCTTACATTCATTCTGTCAAACAGTCAATCAATCAACCATGCAGGAAGAAATCGGGCAAGCTCCTTATTTACAGGTAAGCAAATAAAATAATGTAAATATGTCTATTATTATCTCAGAAATTTTCCGAAAAAGGAGGTATATTTCTGTGCTCTTGAGCTCCATTTAAACCTAAGTCATTTTACCGAGACAAGAAAAGATAAGCACCTAGCGTGAAAAATTCCACCGCTGCGATTTGATCAAATGAACAATCTGTCCGTAGTAACCCTTTATATTATCCACATTCTTAAAATCGAAGGAATATATGACACCATGTGAATGAAAACATTTCGGCATTCCAAAATAGCATCCGCCACAGGTGAGAATATCAGGCAAGCAAGTTTACAAATCCATTTCGATGCTACAAACACATCAAAGCTACCGTGCACAGGATCACGGCAGAAAGCTCGTGTGAAACTCGAGTTTCAGGAAAACCGCAGTTTTTACCTAAGCAAGCTTACCTGACTTCGAAACCGCCGCAACACAAGCTTAACCCAGTCATCGGACTTACTGTCCCGTTGCATGGTTCGTAATTATGTATCGGATTTTCTCAGCATTCGCGATTACCTTCCACATTGTTTGAGTTCGGTCAAACTGCGGTGTATTTTGTCTGGTGTGTGAAGAGATACGGTAGATCGGAAGTACGTAATGATTATGTCTCCCCAAATATGGGCATGGGCGCGTTTAAGCCCGCAAGGAAAACTTCCGAAAGGATAACTTCCGAAAGGATATTTACCCAGAAAATTTCACAACACAAGCGACCAAATATTTTTTTCTGGTGCACACTCTTTTCAGACCATATAAGTGATTTCACTGCAAATTCTTGGACATTTTATGACATCATCTCTGTGGTCTCTGCGAGTTTAGACATTCAATTTGCTTTTTTATGCTAAAAATGATGAAAATCTTATCCCGTGAAAATCTTCTAACTCCCAGATTTTTTTCCAAAATCTTCTGGGGAACATAGAGGAAAAGTAATGAGTTACTTGTGTCGGAAATGCAAGAAAAATGAGATCACCAGCTTTCTTTTAATAAAGCGAGTGAAAAAGAAAAACATGATTTCGTACAATTTGCGCAAGAAACAGCATCCGGATACCTGGGTCTTTTGAATTAAAAAAAAATATCGACTCATAAGTGAGTCTGCTACGTGCGTTAATAATTCCAAATGTTGCCATCCTCTTGATAAAACGTAACCCTTCATCAGACATTTGAAGACGTCGTACAACAAAACAAAGCAAACAAAAGGTACGCGGGGCAAAAAAATTTAAATTTCGAACACATGATTTTTAGGTCATTTTTTCGCAAAAAGTAGGGGGGGGGGGGACTAGAGAACGTGGTCCATGCAAAGTTAAAGTGTTGACAACAAGTAGCACTATTATTATTATTATTCAAACAGGAGAAAACTGGATGCAAAAATGACGGAAATTAGAAAACGCGTTATATTCAAGTTCTCACAGGATCCAAACCGAGGCTGCGCGAACGTGTAACCAATTGAGAATACGTCAATGGCTTCTAACGTTCACGTCACAATCAAGTGAACACAAAAAGAGGTTTTTCCCTCGAGACAAGGTAAGTGTTATGATGGGGAACTGCAATTCTGTCATTTGCTCCAAGTGCAGAACCGAGAAAAGGGAGAAAAATAAGGAAAGTGAAGAAATAGAAGAAACACCCGTGGTGGAAATACACCTTAACTGTCGCCCAAGGCAGTCCGAGTTACAGATGAGGCAAGACACCATGCCTGCCGCGCCGGTATTTTCCAAGACTTCTAGCATTGAAGTTATCGATGTAGACAGCGCTGATGAGCAGTCGTTTTCAGATTCATCATCGTTTCTATCGGAGGGTGAAAGTCATAGTGTTGGCTTTCCACAAGATCTTGAAGAACCTCTCAGTTTTGAGGTCCAGGGAAAGTCATGCCTGCCCAGGAAGGCGACAGTGACTGGACTGGCGCAGCAAAATGATTTCCAAGGTTGTGCATTAGCACCAGTGGAAAGCCCCGCTTGTTGTAGTTCGTGGAACGAGAACCAATTGCAACGACAGGGCAATGGCAATGGTGGGTCCTCTGGACTCCACAGGGCACCCAAAATTTCAATGCCGCTACCGCGCCCATCGCTATGGCAACAGGTTTATTCCAAGACGCTCAAGAAAAGGGAGCGAATGGCCAATGAAAAGTTGAACAGAAAAGCACAGTGTCATAAGAAAAGAGGAGATGAAGCCCTCAACCTAGAGGAAACCACTGGCTCCAGAAGTGTGAAAGTAAAAATGTCCATGAGATTAAAGGCGGACCAAGACCCAGAGAGCTGTTCTGCAGCCCTACCACCGGACGAAACTAATGCAAGAAGATTTGGAGTGGACATCGAAGACTCTAGTGACAGCAGCTCTGATAGCAGTTCCAGCGGCGCGAGTTCAAGGCTGTCCTCCGCTGCGTCACGCCACAGTCCAGTTACATCGCATAAAGACTCAGAAAGTGCAAACAATGGACAAAAGGGCGGGAGGAAGTCTCGAAAATGGTTTCGCTTAAAAGATAAGGTCGTTCCACTTTAAAGAGACGAAGACTACACACCCCAATGTCCCCTCCCTCTCGGCCCACACAGGCCGAATATAAGCCTCACCCCCCCCCCATACCCCCCTCCCCCCGCGCTCACCTTGTGCACACAAGACAGGTGCGCAATGACGGTCTTCCACGCATGGCAAAAAATGTGACAAAAAAACCGCTTCTCTCTGTCTACAGCTTAAAATTAAAAACCTTCATTGATAAATATCATATGGAATCTTTATTATGTGCTTAAAGTCCTCGAAACTTATAATCTCCCTCAAGTCTGATTTCTAAGCAACATTCCCTAATGATTTGAACTTATGCAGGATAAACGGTAAGCTCTCGAGAGATCGTATGAATGAAAGTACTGTTCGGGTGTCGACAAACCCAGAAAAAGTGCTCTTTGAAGTGACAAAATAAGTTTTCCTCCCTTGAATCTGACGAGGACGTTTACTTAGTCGGTCAGAACGGCAGTCTTTTCCAGGTCTGCCCTCATTCAGAGGACCATACCAGAACAACATCAAACTAAACATGATTCTATCCACCACTTTGCAATATGTAAAATGAAAGATGACTCTATCGAGACTTCGACCGCGTAATGAAAGTGATTGGACTGGAACTAGCTTGCAATAGAGGCTCATGCGAGGGAATATCATTAAAGACTCCACGCATTAGCCTCGGTTGCAAGCTAGTTTCAATCCAATACGGAGAACAGAAATATGGTCTACTATACGCATAAACGATTTTTAAACGGAGAAAGACCAGTGGAGAACAACAATATATTTATATAGAAAATGGTCAACGAAAAGTCGAGAATTGATTCACTCTGTGAATTCGAAAACTACCTTGATTCACCTGAATAAGAAATCACATCAAAAGAAGTTCAAAGTTTATTTCTAAGAATCCCTTTTTGGCCGATTGCGGTAATGTCATTTTAAGTTTAGTTATCAGCGTCCTTCGAGACTTCACTTCAGAAACTAACTCCCACAAAACAGCGATGAAACAGTGTCAGAGAACATTTTTCACTTGATCACGGTCACTAGAATCGTAAAAGCTTTATGAGATTAGAATTATCACATGAAGTCTCTTCCCTTTTTCATACGTGTGTTACAATTTACCTCGAAAGAGTTTGGCTACAAAGGAAACATTTTTCCAACCCATCAGGTTCTCAACTCCTGAGATGCATGCCGAATTTGTTACGAAATGTGAGGAGGAACTGAATTTACGACCTGATCGCTCTTAACTGTTGATTTTTGGATTAGAATACGGGAAGATTAGAAGACATTATTTTTTAAACGAAAAAAATCGGCACTGCTTCATCCTGACGCATTGTAGAATTGCTAAATCAACGGCTTGGCATCAAGTTTGGCCTGAAGCTTGCCAGCTTCTTTTCTCATTTTCCTTGCCTCAGGCCAGTTTCCCTGCATGGTGTACGCAATTCCGAGCACAGTCAAGGTGCGAACAACCTCTGAGTGTTCATCTCCGTGAATATTCTTATGTCCGTTCAGGGCCATGTCTAAAAAGCGCCGCGCTGGAGTTGTTTCGCCAAGCGAAAGGTACGCGTGCCCCAGATCAGTAAGAGTGCTGGCCACGTCGCTGGTGAACCTGCGGGCTTCGACTTCATCCGGGTTGGTGGGTGCCGCTGACTGCAGGATTGAAAAGGATCGCTCGATGTAGTCGCGACTTCTTTCTTTGAAACCTAAACTCCCGTATGTGGCGCCGAGGGCAGAGAGATTGCGAGCGTAATCAAGGGGTTGTTTGTATTCACCAAACTTCCTTCGTTGCGATTCGTAAATTTGAATCGCTCTCTCGAGAAGCTCTCTGCACTTTTGCAGATCGTCTAACGAACTGTAGACATCCGCTAAGCGCGTCAGTGTGGAGGCAACCTCAAGGCTCGATTCACCATACAGCTGCATTTCAATCGCCAGGACATCTTCCAGTAGGCCCTTACTGGATTCCAGATTCCCCAAAGAGGCGTCGATGGATGCTACGGCCGAAATGGCATGGGCACGACTTTTAGGCCCCAGGCTCTTCGACGTGCCAGAGGCTAATATGTGATCAAGGTGGGGCTTGAGAAGCCTGGCGAGAGTTCGCGTTTGGTTGTCCTGCCCGCAGACCGAAGCAACTCCATTAATGGTTTTCAAAATTCGCGCCGTATGCTCCTGACAGTGTCGAACTGCGTCCCGGGTCGTAATCTTTCTAAACTCTTCCCTGTTCTCCAGCTCGCTCTCCTGCAACAAAACACTGACAATTGGCCCAGTACATGTTGGTAATAGCCCGCTATCAGGTGCGTTATCTTTTAAGGTTACAGCTTCTTCTTGAGACACTTCACCAAGGGAGTTACGATATTCCTGAAGCGTCCTTTGAGCGTTAAAACTCCACAAGCGGCGGAACCACGAGCTAGTGTTGTGCTTGTCTTCCGCCCTTGCCAGATATTCTGCTTCAAGCTGGTGCATTGTCCTGGACAAGAAGAGTTGCTGAAACACTGAATGCACCAAAGGGCTAACGACCACTGTCTCAACACCTAGTTACCAACAATAAAATTATTAATTATGGAAGAAAATCCTGGATTTCTTCTAAGGGTGTCATGTAGCAAGCTACTGATCAATCAACCACCATCCCTTACCCTCACAGTGGAGTGGGCCCAGTATCATCCAGCCAGGATCTTTCCACTTCATGCCCCCTTGTCCAAGAGGGAAAGACCTCTACTGGTTTGAGTGAGACTAAAAACTGAGGAAGGGGTCAGTGAATAGCACATCTGGTTCATCAGTCTAAAACTTTGATGTTCAGTCTGGTTACAATTTACTACTTTATACTTTCAGTGCCTTGGTTGGGTAAGTGGGCAAGCAAGTGAGTAAGCAAGCCAACAAATGACAGAGGAAAGAGGTGAGTGATAATGGGTAAGACAGATAGCAAGTGACCATACAGGAAAAGTTATTGACCAGATGAGAGAGTGGTACAGAAAGCAAGATTATTCTTACCCATAGGCTCCATTCTCACAACAGAAACCAAGGGGCACGCCTTGAGCATCTCAACCACTCCATCCACCATCTGCGGCATGTCAGGCAGCTCAGGATTGAGCATTGCTTTGATGGCATCCACATTATCCTTCACCGCTGTCATAAAGGACTCAAGGTTTTTTGCCAGCTTCTTGATGGATAAAAACATTTCTTCTACTTCTTCTCCAGCACCATCTTCCTTTTTGACCTCAGCGGGTTTCTGGCTTGGTAGAGCTGGTCCACTGCCAACCACAGGCGGTAGATTGAAATCGGGCGACCTTAAATGAAGCGCAATCAATGTAATGGGAATTGGCCAGTCAGATGTACAGGTGCCCAGGAAGTCAAATGCATGGAGGAGATGACAATTTTCTCGAACAAGATTCTTGGTTTCCATGGTAACTACAACATGAGTTGGACCCAGGCTAGTCTCACCATTAGCCTTTGTAAAGTTCTGCAGCTCTAGTTTGAGCTCATTCAAAAAGTCTGTGCTGGAATAGTCAGGATCGTTTGCAGCCTTTGACTGCATGTAATGGCCAGCACATGTCAAGGCCAGAGGAATGCTATTTAGCAGTGTCACAATGTCTCTAGCTGCTGTCATCTTGTCTTCCTCTAATCCACTTAACTTTGAAAGAAGCTGCACTCCATCCTCAACATCCATTCTAAAAGGAAACAAATAAGTTATTGAGATGAACTTTGTCTCCACAGGGGGAAAGGAAGTGACATAAAAAACAATATACTTTTTGGTGGCCTTGGTTTGAGCACTGAACTCTGGATTAAACTCTGTGAACTGGTCTGTCTTACTGTTCTTCAACGAGATATGTAATGCTTTCACATAATTTTACATCACCTATCCAACCACGTGTAGAAATGGGTATGGGGGAATATAATGCAAGGGGTAACCTGTGATTGACTATGACCCCATCCAAATGTTTCTAGTTGTTTCATGCCCCAGAAACCAGAGATAGGCACCCATGGGCCACTAGGCTCAAAGGATACTTATCATAAGTGGACACCTCTCCTAGGGGTGTATTTAGGAGAGGTTTATTATAGTGCATGAGCTTTACTGTACTTGGTTTACCTTCAGTGCGATATTTCACCAATATACACTACCAATAGGCACAGTGGTCTCACGGTTAGTGCACTCGCCTCTAGATCAAGTTGTCCAGGCCAAGCCCTTCCAGAGACATTGTGTTGTTTTCTTGAGCAAGTCACTTTCCTCTCACAGTGGCTCTCTCCACTCAGTTGTATAAATGGGTACCAGCAACTTTAATGTGAGGGGGAGGGGGAAGGGTAATGGACTTAGTTGTTCATGTTAATGAAACCAGAGAAAAGCACTGGTCTGAAGGGCGACTTGACACGTGTGCAGGCTTAACCTTACACTCAAAATGAGTCAGTAAGCGCACATATGTGCTACTTTCTTTCAATACAGTTGAATTTCCAAAGGTTGACCACCCTTTTTGTCAATCCAAAGTAGTTTCTTAGTACTTCTTACCAAAGGTTTCATTAACATATACAGATAAACTCTGAAGTTAGACTCTTCCAAAATATATCGAAAATGGATTCTGGCAATGTTGGGAAGTTTGGAGAGCACTCAAGAAGCTAGTAAGAGTTGCTTTCGGCTATTGCCTGGAGTGACTCTTATGCTTCTTTTCCGCTCTCCACACTTCCTGCATGCACCATAACAGCATGAACCAAATTTTTACATGAGGTTGCCGAAGAACCAAAGTCAGTAAAATCATTTGTTTTACATGGTATGCGTACAAGAGTATTTGGCTTACCCTGCATCAATACTGTAAGCATTGTTCATCAATAAATCCCTGTTTGGATCAATTTCTCTAGTGACCAGAATTGTTCCATTACCCCAACTGTTCGCTGAATTGTTGGAAAACCATCGATTTAGAACTTCACTGTCCTCTACATTCTCCAATATGAGAACCCATCCCTGGCTCTCGTTAAGTTTGTCTTTGACAGCTTCAACAAAGAAATCAAGCTGCTCTTCTTTGGGCAGACTGTTGAAATACACACCCTCGCCGGCTTTTGATGTCCAATTGCTCTCCAAGCAACCAACAGAAATCGCAAATCGTTTTACATCAAAAAGAAGACTATCTACCGATGAACCATTCAAAGTACCAAATAAGAGATTCCCTGGAAGAAAAGTGTACCTTTCCTCTTCATTTTTAGCGAGTTTCTCAGCAAATGCTCGAGCAAGTTCTGTTTTTCCTGAGCCAGCACAACCAACGATGTGAAGATCAGTTAATGACTCACTCTTTTTCAGTCGAGCGTGGAGTGAGGAAAGAGCTGTCAGATCTTTTTCACGCGTGTGAACATAATGACTGGGTGCCAGAGGCAGTGATTTCACTCGCAGACGTTTCTTCTCATGATTTCTGTAAACGTACTGATAAATAGCGCCAGAAATCCCCAGTGTCCCAATGATCCAATATTTAAGATTCGGATTTTCTCTCCAAGATTTCGAATCCTCCCCACCTTCTTTACTTTCCTTCTGTTTTTCAGGTTCAGATGGCACACCAGAGAGGAGAACTATCTGTTCTCTTTGCGTTATTTGCCTAAGGTTTATAAGCTTAATTCGGCTGCTGCCCCGAACCTCGGCGCTGGCAGAGCGCAGGCGATGGGCTATTTGAAAGTTCACACAACGGGAATACATGGCAAAACTACCACCAGCAACCAGTCAGTTGATAAGAAAAAACTGTCTCTTGCAAGCTGCTTCGTTTTTCATTAAAAATCGCTCATCTGCACCTGAGGTACGATGAGAAAACAAATGCATACACAGAATCTGCTGGCGGCCGCCATTTTGCACCCCAGCACGTGTCGCTGTCCACTAGGTCTACCTCACCCTATACCTCTAAAATCTCATAAATATTGCAAAGACGGCAAAAGAGAGGAATTTGCTTGAGTATCGGTTTATTTGAAAGTTTCAAACGTATCGAGTTTTAATGCTTTCTCCAGACCAGCAAAAACTGAGTTACTTTACTCCGGTTCACTACAATGATATTAAACAGCCCTTGAGAAATTTTTCCCGTGGGACCCTAGGCTGGGTTCTCCTTTTTTCCCTCTACACTTTTTCCCAGTCTCCCGCGCGACAGTCGGTACAAAATCAAAGATGGCTTCTTCCCAGGGAAGACACGCAAAGATGAAAATCGTAATTGACTGTGATGCCGGTATTGACGATGCCCAAGCTATCATGATCGCGCTCTCTCATGAAGTGGATGTCTTAGCTATCACTTGTACATTTGGAAATGTAGACGTTGATCAAGTTTCCAAGAATGTCCTCAAGATACTTGACGTTTGCGTGCGAACAGACATACCCGTGTACAAAGGCGCCCATCAGGCCATGCTAGGTACGGTATTAAGCTAAAAGATAGCTTTCCCGAGGATATTTCCTCCATTCTATTCTTTTAAACGCATGATAGTCAAGATTATTTTGAAGAGCACTGTCGCGTGCGTACGGGGACGAGACCGGTACGAGTGGGAGGCACGAATCTCGCTCCATGGTTAGATCGCTCCCCGGAGCGGGGCGGGGGTGGGGGAGGGGGGGGGGAGTGCGGTACTCCCATATATGGGCTATATAGGTATAAATTGCGGGATAGGGTAGGGTTTTTGAGGTTCTCGAGGGTATCATATTTGCCCCTGTTGGCATTGTGTTCCCAGGGTGATCCTTAGATAGGATACCTAAATTGTGTCAGCCAAAATTGCAGTGCGTAAATTCCAGCTAAACGAAAAGGAAATGATCTGTAAAAACTTAAGTATTTGTATTCTTCCAAAGTTACAGAACTGAAGTAAAGTTCAACCATCCACACCATTTTTAGTTTTTGTTTTTCCCTTCAATAGGGTGTCATTTTTCGGGCTTTGGCCTTAAATAGGTTGTCATTTTTCATGTCTTTCATCCTCATCAGGGTCAGGGTTTAAGAACTTTCAACGCACACACCTACCTGAAATTTACGGAAGTACCCCCCCCCCTCCCAGGATCGCTCCAAGTCGGTTAGTCTTTGTATATCCCCTTAGCTAAATATCATCCAGCACTTAGTGGAGGGAGTGCAGTGCCCTGAGTGGGAAGGTTGAGAGGGATATTGACCTCAGGTAAAGGAGAATCCTGTCAAAAGTTCAGAATTGTCTGTCCTTGGTGCTTGGTGGGAAATTGAAGAAACAAATGTTCCCCCGGAAGGTATATGAATTCTAAACGACAGTAAACTTGACAATACATCATGCTACACTCATGTACTCATACCGTCCCTCTCAATCTAGAAAGAGGGATTTATTGTCATTTGCCTTATATTTCAGGGGTGGGGACAATTTTTACAGCACATAAGCTTGGAGAAAACCCTTCTATGTTCTCTTATCTATGAAAAAATGAAGGGATTCAAACAGTCTCTTGAATGTATAAGAAAATGGTAATATTTCTTTTTTTGTTATCATCAGGAAACACCTTTGAGAAACCAAGCTATCATGGTTTAGATGGACTGGGGGATGCACTTGATCATAAGGACCCAGATATGCACCTTCTCAAAGAAACTCATGCTGCTCAGGCCTTAGCCCAACTTGTGAAAGAAAACCCTGGTGAGATTGTCATCATAGCACTTGGCCCATTGACCAACATTGCCTTAGCTACTCATCTGGATGCCGAGTTTACAACTAAAGTGAAGGAGATCTTCCTAATGGGAGGCTGCATCCATGGAAAAGGAAATCACTGGGTTTCAGCTGAGTTCAATTTTGGTGCTGACCCTGAGGCAGCTTATGTAGTGCTCAATCAGTTTACCAATCACCCTGTTTCCATTGTGTCCTGGGAGACGTGCTTGGAACATGAACTGACTTGGGAGTTTTTTGATGGTTATGTCGGAGCTGGCACCAAACAAGCAGAATTCATGAAGAAGATTACATCAAATATTAAAGAATATGAAGCCAAAATGAATGGTCCATTTATAACCTGTGATCCCTATGCAGTTTGCGCAGCAATACAGCCTTGCATTGTTCTGGAAGAAACATCTGTCCATGCAACAATGGAACTCAAAGAGGGCCTCACACGTGGACAGATGGTTATCGATTGGAGAGGTCTTCTAAAGAAGCCAGCTAATGTGCGATTAATCACAAAAATTGATCTTGATCTGTTCATGGAAATGATGCAACACTCTGTTAAATAATCTGGACAAGAACTGTTTAGCCCTTGAGTCCTATGCCCCACTCAGTGAAATTGACCTTACTCAAGACAAATTGACCATTTTACAGTTGTCTGCTTGGTGACCTGGCCTTTCAATGGCAGCAAGGCTGGAGGTGACCTTGCTTTGATACAGACCTACCTGCTTTTGCGATGTAAATGCACCTAGTTAGCATTAGAACAACTTGATTTACACAACAAAAGCAGTGAGGTCTGTCTCAAAACAAGGTCACTTCCAGCCTTGCTGTCATTCAAAGGCCAGGTCACTAAGCAGAAAACTGTAAAATGGTCTAGTGACAAATTGCACAAACTTCTGGTTTTCTCCGTAAATCTCTGAAAATCAAATTTCACTTGGCATAAATGATTGTTATTTCTATTATTCAACTTTCTAACATAATATAATTATTATACACTATCAGTATCTATTTTTTACAAATACTCTATTTTATTTAACAATAATAGAATTGTACTTATTTACCAGTATATTGCATTTTGTCAACATATATCAGGTAGTAGTTTAGTCCAGGTGACTTTGATTATGAAATTACTTTTTACTTAGAATTGGACAAACTTTTTTTTTTTTTTGGACAACTGGACAAACTTACGAGTAAGAGATTTTGGGACACTTTTTTAAATAAACAACTAAAAATATTTTTCTGCCTTTAGTGTGAACTTATGACATTTATTACCAAGAATTACATACTGTTTGACAAACTATCAACAACAACAACACATTGTTTAGGTGACAGGATACCTGAACTAACTATAAAGAGCTATCATAAACTTACAAGACAGGTGTCCATTGAATGTTACTCGACAATAAAGCTACATTCTGAGCAAAATAAACAGAAAATCCAGAGAACATTTCTCCGAGAACTTGTGTTTGAATAGCTTTTCCATATCATTATCAAAACCTCTCAAGCTTATTCCACAGACATCCATTAACTTCCATACATCACATTACTTTGCACTTGGAATTAGGGTTTGTTTTCCTGAGTTTCTGTTCATATTCTTCTTGAGCTTTTAAATACGACAAAGGTGGCCAGCGATGTTCATAGACATGTTCCCTGTTTTCTCCTTGAACAAGATCAAACTCTTCAGTTGACTCGAACACAGAGAAGTTTGTGGAAATGAAATGAAGACACCAGCCAGATAACTGCTTTGCATTGTGAGCCTGAAAAAAAAAATGTAAAATAGTTTGATAAAAAAAAAACTATTGTATAAAATAAGACTCTTTGATGTTAAGAAAACACTTTCCCTCATGATAGAAAAATCGATATTTCTTGTCAATAAATACTAAAAGTAAACTAGAAGTAATAAATCGTTGCAAGTGCAGGCAATTTTTCTTTTCCTCTCACAATCCATGTATGTCAGAGGTTTGGCACTAAGAAAGGGCTGTATGGCTTAACAGCAACTGTCCTAAGAAGTGTAGGGTGATCAGGATATTCATAAAATCTTGATCATTGACTAGGTAAGGAATAGAAGCATCTTCCCAGTAACACAACAAAATGGTGCTGGACTTGCTTGTTTAGATCTATTGAGAAGACTGCCACTTGAGAAAACTTCCATCTAGGTGCTCACCTAGGTGTACAAATGGGTACTGGTGAACATAATGTTGGGGGTAACCCTACAGTGGACTAGCATCCCATCCAGGGGGGAGTAGAAATACTCCTAGTCATTCATGCTACCGAAACAGGAGATAAGCAACAGCCTGATTGATTACCTACCACTCATAATACTACTTGGTCTTACCTGTGATGTGAGCAAGAGATTTATGACATCACTTGTACCATCAGCAACTCTCTTTTGTATAGAGGAATCCACTTTCTTAGTGATGTACAACTCGCACAAAGTCACAAGTCTCGGCAGACAGAACCTGTCAGCTAAAATCATTATTTCCACAGAGTCACCCTCCTCTATTGGGGCGTGGTCAGTGTAGAGGTACTCCAGTACAGCCAAGAAACTTTGGAGGGAAGTATCCAAGATCTCAATCTGGAATAAATATTAGTTATTGTAAGAAATAGTTACTTACTTCTTACTTAATTCTGCCTGTTTTTAAACCAAATTGGTTTACCCTCTCAGAATACCACAGGTATGCCACTAACATACAGTGTAGGTTTAAAATAGAGGGAGGCAAATAGAAATCAGGGAAAATGGTTTTGACCCTTTGGATTTCATCTGTAAATGTTTATTGGAAACCTGCACTTCATTTGTGACCCTTTGAATTTTCAAAGTCTAAGTGAAAAAGTGTAATACAGTTTGAAAAAAGGAATGGTATTTCATTTTCTTCTCTTGCTTTAAGGAGGCATGCTCTGATAATTATTTGATTTTCAAGAAACAAAAATACAAGTCTTACTTCTGTATCCAGGTCACTCTCTCTGAAGGAACCACCCAACATGGCTGCCATAACCTGTGACCTTGCTTTCAATATCAATTTGTGCCCATACACAATGGTGCCCTCCACACGGAACTTGACATCAGCTAGTAATGGCTTGTTTAGGAACAACTTCTTTGCCACCTGCCCTGTGTTGTCATTTAGCCAGGTTCCAATACTGGGATTTAGGAACGAATCTCCCTTAAGTAAATTTGTGCAGATGTCCGACAACCAGGCCAACTGGAATTTCTCAGCAACAGTTTGAATTTCTTTGACAAAGTTCTGGTCTTCATCCTCTGAAATGTCTGGTGACCCAGTGTAGAGAAAAGTCAAAACCTCCATAAACACACCTTTGGAAATGCTCTCATGCAATCTTATAACTGTTTTGCCTTCATTTTGGCATTGCCCTTCAACGTGATCTAGGTTTGGACATTCACTCTCCTTGTTGCAAATCCAAGAAATATCTTCGAAGATGCAACTGTAAGATTCATTATTTGGAGCCATTCTGCCGAGGAAAATGTTCTTGAAAATGGATGATGAAGCAGCAAGGACAGTTTTATGGGCTTCTAATGACTGACCATCCAAGAACAAAAATCTGACATCTGCACTGCTAGTGTCAGACATCATGGAATGCCAGTCACTTGCAAATGTTGAACTGAGGACCTCTATATGAGGTGCAAAACCTGCAAAATGAAAATAAATTATCATGATCCTTTAACCTTTTAGTTTCCCTGCACTTTGCAGGATGATCAACAAAATTTATTAGCCGGTTCTTAAGTGAAAATGCTAAGCAGACAGCCTAAAAAGTTTAAATTAAAAAAGACAATTATATATTCATCATCAAGAACCGTGCTGCAACAAATTCTTCAAGCATCTATTACTCTAGTATAATATACCAAGAAGAAATTTATAATCCATCAATTATCTTCGCTCATGCACTATTGGTCTAAGCACATCACATGACTGAATATGCCCCAGCTAAAACTGCAGAATATCCAAGAGATATTCCCCAATTTTCAAAACTGCATGTGTGGCAAAGAATAATATTATTTGAAGCATTATAAACACAATAGCCTCCATTTAATTAACATGAAAATATGTCAGATATTTGTCCTTGGATATTATCTGTTCGTTAAAGCCCACAGACTGAATCTGGAGTCTAAACCTTGGAGAAGGGAGGGGCACTATACAACATATCAGTATCTATAATGGTTTTCTACCCCTTTCAAAGAGAAATACGCTATAGATTTTCAACATTTCAGACTTAAGTAAGGTAAGTTTTACACTCTACCTCACATAACAACCAAGGTTTCCAGGGAGTACCCTCCCCTGAGCAAAGATCACAATGTGGGCCTGCACCCAGACCTGAATCTGGAGTTGGATACAGAAACCATTGGGCCATTGAGCCCGGTGAACCATCAGGCCAGTGCTTATCTCCAGTTCCCGTAGCATGAAACAACTCTGGATAGGTTACCCCCAGCACTAAATTTGCCGGCAACCATCTTGCACAGCAACATAACACAATGTCATCGGCCAAGGCTCAAACACAGACCACTTGATCCGGAGGCGAATGCACTAACCGTGAGGCCACCGCACCTCCACCAAGGGACTTATAAACCCAAAGGAATATTTTCTTTAATCTGTTACCTGCAGGTGGCAACTCTGGAGGAAGTGGTTCTTGATCCTTGACAGAACATGAATTTTTGCTCCTCCTTTTGAAGAAACCCAATGCTTTTGATGTCACACTTTTTTCTTGGTTAATGAAAGTAACCGCCAGTTCAGCTGCTTTGTTAAGGGCCTGTTGCACTCCATCATTTGTCACTGAACTGCACTCTGCATATGAAACTTCTAGAGATGTGGCAAGAGCCTTCCCTTCCCTTGTTGATACAATGTCCCTGTCTCCAGATGCATTGCTATTATTGGAAGAAAGGGAAAAAAATCATGAAGCATTTATTTTGGCAATCAACTGACAACTGATTATAGAGTTGAGTAAAATTATGAATTTAAAACATCGTGCTTGTTTAATTGTAAAATTTGGACAAAAAACCCTAGAACTTTGGAAATTAGTTCCGATAATGTTAAAGTCTTTGATGTTACGCCCTTTGGCCTGTAAGGAGGCCAACATGGGAGGGGCAAAACTTTGAGAAGTCAGGGAGCCATGATGTGACTCAGAAGTGAAACAGAGAAATGAGAAAGTGAGCCTGCTCTGAGATAATTTCAGTTCATTTACATCATGCAGGACAAAAGGAGGCCTCTTCTCCCCACTGTTACAAAATTACATATTTTTAATGTATAGTCTCCTTTGCAGCCATTGTCCAGGATCATCATGCCTCTCTCTTTCCTCCAACAATGGCTGCTTAAACCCAAACCACATTCCTTTGCATGTTAATTTAGCCAATGATGGCTTCACTTATATATTCCTAAGTTGCTCAAAAATTCTCTGACTACACCAACCAAAAGTTGTATCTTACCATGTACCAAGCATTTGTGATGTCGCCTTTTGAACTGGGCACATACCAGACATCAAAATAAAACAAAGTTTTACCCAAATGAAACATGTCAGATTTGAAAACATTATGGATACACAAAATTATAAGTTCATGTACTACAAGGACATCCAAGTTCTAGGATTAAATAGATCTTGCAGTGTTTAGGCAAACAGCAGCTGTCACTTTTTGGCCAATAGGTATGGTATCAACATGCTTGCAGTCAAAATGAAAGCGAGTTATTACGGAATGCAGCTGAGGTTCAAGCGGGTCATTGTTTAAGGAGGGAGGATATGTGAGGACAATGGATACAAAGGAAACCAATTTGTAATGTGAGCAATCCAGCATCACTTCTCCACTGATGGCAGGTGACAGGTTGCAGGTGGTGAGTGTTGGGTGATGGCTAGTGGGTGACAGGTGACTGGTAACAGGTGACGGGTGATGGGTAGCAGGTGGCTGGTGATCAAAATACAAACCGCTCAATGATAAAAAAAAAATCACTTAAATTTAATATTATCAAGTTACAATGGACAAACATTACATAAACTGTCACCTGTCACCTGCTAATGATCACCCATTACCCGCCACCCGTTACCCACCACTCCTGGTTAAGTGCTGTCGTGACCAATCAGAATTTGGAAATAATTAAGCCTTCTATTTGGGGCAGCAAATGGTACAGTGTAAATGCAAGACTATGCAAGACGGCAACAATTACATATTTTTTGGAAGTCTGAGACTTGCTCAGCTTTGGAAAAGAGATTGAGGATTAGAGATCGCCTTTGCAAAAAATCCCAAAAGGTGACTGACCTGAGAAATTGTAAAAATTCAGGACTCTTCAGCAAGACTTCTACGTTTTGAAGGACCATTCCAATTACCCATTTGCTGCCACAAACTTCTAACTTTGAAACGGAAATTTTCCACAATTTTGCGTCGAGATCACCATAAACAAATTAAAGATTACCCTTTTACTCTGGCTAAAGCCAACCAGACAATAGGCTTATTTTGCTTTGATTGGGTGATCACAACAGATCAACATCTTTGAATGGGTTTGAAATTGTATGTAAGCTTTTAAACATTTAAAAATATTCCTTGAGCTTCGGCGTATGTGGTATAGACTTGTAAGAAATCCATGCTTTCTTTTTTTTAAGGCAAATCGAATGCTACAACTTACTTGCCACCTCGAAGGTCAGTTTTGTTCGCCAAAAGAAGGATTGGTGCTTCTGGTACGAAGTGACGGAGTTCTGGAACCCATTTCCCAGTCACATTTTCAAATGAGCTTCGACTTGCTACGTCGAAACACACAACAAACACATCTGTTTGTGGATAAGAAAGTGGCCTCAGTCGATCGTAATCTTCTTGGCCTGCTGTATCCCAGAGAGAAACCGAACATGGAGAGCCGTTTAACATAAGATTCACGGAGTAATTGTCGAAAACTGTTGGGACGTAGTTGCATGGAAAATGGCTGGTGGTTGCAGTGATAAGAAAACAAGATTTTCCGACGCCTCCGTCGCCAACCACTACAAGTTTTATATTCTGCATTTTTCAAACTTGCTTTGCAGTCAGGAATACTGCAACAGCCGGAGCTTTCACTTCTGCTGAGCCAAACATTTCTTGCCTCCATTTAATTTGGTTATCAGTTTTATACATGGTTCCCGGCCAAAAATAGCTGACCAATCAATGCAAAGAACTCAATTCCGATGACGTAAGAGTCTCAATCTGGCATGAAATTGGGAGGAGGGTGGCGGGGGAGGTTGGGTAAGTGGAAAACTGACAGGAACAGTGTGCTGAACCCAGAAAAAAGAACCTATTTCCACTTCTTTTTCTATGGATTTAACAAACAACAGAAACGAAAATGAATTCAAACAGCATCATCCTGGACTTGGGCTCCCTCAGTTAATTTTCTTTTTTTTTTTGGCCCAACCTCCCAACTCACTTTCACAAGGAGGAGGGAAGGTAATTGTAAATGAAACATTTGATGAGGATAGCCTAAAGCTGTAGACCACGAGATTCTTGAGGGGGAGTGGGTGATTTTGAAAAATATCCGGTATGCATACTAGTACCAAAAAATTAATGCACATAACCACTGCCAAAAAGAATTTAGAAACCTCCTTCCCATGGTCTCTCATCTTCCCACCCCCGAGAGGAGAGACCATGGGAACTAGGTTGATTAATTGAGCCAAATAAAAGTATGTTACATGGCAGAAAAAATATCATACAATTCACACATGTCCCAAGAAAAAAATTATCTGGCACATGTAAGGGTAACAAAAGATTGTGCCTATACCAAATCACTACCCCCCTCAAAAATCAATTGGTCCTCCCCTAAGTAAATAAATAAATAACTTAATGAGCAAGCTAATAACAAGAAAAATGAAAGTCCCTTCAATCTTCCTAGAAAAGTCTTCCTAAATTTTCTAGGAAGATAGAAGGGACGTCTGCTCGCAGGGCAGGCAGAAATGGAGTAACCAAAAAATTCTCACGTCATCAGAAAGGTACAATGAAGCTATGATGCTCAATGCAACTGCTCAGTGATCAATTTCACACTCAAATGCAATCTCAGACAACAGAGAATTTTTAAAACACTAAAACTTTCCCAAGATAAAGCTCTTTATTAAAATAAAAATAATGATATAGATTAACTACTGCTACATTGTGTATTTAACTATGTGGTAATTTTGTTTTCGGTTACCTCTAGTTGTTTCTATTGTTTTACTTGTACCTTCTATAATTTTGCTGTGAATAATAACATTACCTTTTTTTTCCTTTTTTCCTTTGTAACATAAACTCTTGCCCCTGCCTCAATTAGTTCTGGAACTACTAGTTGTGGGGGCAAGCAATTTCTGTAGCTCTATATAAGAAAATAAAGTAAAATATAGGCCATATTCGTATTCTTGGTATTTGGCTGGAACTGCAATCGTGGACAAAAGTCCTTGGGACACTTATGTAATGTAACGGATTACCTGGGTTTTAGAACTGAAGTTTGAAGAAAACGCTGCTATATCCTTTATAAATGGGTTGTTGTCCCCCCTCCCCATCCAACACAATGTTGAAAATCAGTTGAAATTGCACGTAGTAGTTTTCAACATTGTATGGGGGGTGGGGGGCGAGGTTAGGCAGGTGAAGTTGTATTCACGCCTGGCGTGTACGCAAAAGCGCCAAAAGTGAAAATTTGTCCCAAGACTTTTGTCCATGATTGTAGCTGGCAACTGAGGCTAATGTAGGGAGTCCTTTCACATCCAAGTAACATTGATCTCAGTTTTTAATGATATTCTCCTGCACGAGCCTCCATAGCAAGCTAGTTCCAGTCTAATACCGAGAATACGAATATGGTCTAATAAAGCTCAAGTTCAAGTGATTTAAAAAAACTAACTGTACTTTGATAACCCTTGCAAATAAAGTATCTATGTTAAGTATACATGTGCACAGAAGTGGCTGTGTCAGACATTAAAGGAACTACATCACAATTTGCACGTCTTGGAAAATGTAGGCTACATTTTTCTGGTTTGTTGTTTGTAATCCCTGTCAGTCTTCTCCATTCTTGTTCCTTTATGGTTTATTATTATCTCCTTGGTGTTTTTCTATCTTAGTAAACTACTATTAATTTTTCAGGTTTCCTTTACTTTAAAGGTAATTCTGTATGTGACCAAAATAACTCAAAATAATGTGTCTGAGCTCCTTTAACAAGATCAGTATATTTTAATAAAACTAACTAATTTAATTAAGAGTGTCATCCAATGATCTTGATGAATTCTTGTCCATGTGAACAGTCTTTTAAATTGGTTAACAACCTTAAAGAAACTGAAAGCCATCTAACTTTAGCCTAGGTGTATCAGTTTTTTTATTGAACAGACTTCATCATCAATGACCTATGTACTTCCATATTGACCTCTTGTACGATCTTGATGTTAGGTTTCTGTCCAAGATGTCCTCTCCAATCTACAACCATTTGACCTCGGGTTAAATGCCCATGAAGCTCTACCGTAGCATACACACTTGTTTCCTTTGTTACCATTTCCGGTTGGATAGCTACTGCCACGGCAAGAGGATCACAGGAAGTGTACCCTTCTCCAAAACCAGTTTGTTTTTTCTGGTAAAACATAGCACTCATGTTCGAAATCTTCTTCACAAAATCTGATTTCTTAGTACCTTGTCCAGAGTACTCATCATAAAATTCCCAAGGAAATGCATGGTAGAGGCAAACCTCCCATGTTATGAGAGAAACTGGACAGGTTAGCTGATTTAACACGACATGAGCAGCTTCCACATCAAAATGGAAATTAAATTCAGCACTCACAGATTCGTTGCCTTTGGCTTCAATATTTCCTCCCATGATAAAGACATCTTTCAATTTGGAAGAAATGTTTGGATCCAGTCGGCACGCCAAAGCAATATTGGTTAATGGACCAATGGGAACCAACGTGATTTCACCAAGGTGTTGCCCAACAAGCCTGATTAGGGCATTTACAGCATGTTCTGTTTTCAGTAATGACATATCTGGGTAAGGAATGTCTTCCACATCACCCATACCATCCACACCATGAAAATGGGAGGCAGAACCCTTGAAATCACCTGTCAATCAACAGTCAACAGTTAAGTAATGAACAACAGACAAACAAGGTAAAATCTATGCCATAGCCTAATGACCCATATGGTTTGCATGAGCTGACTAGGAGTATTTCTACATCCCCCTAGGTGCTGGGACAGGTCTAGGGAGGTTCAGGGGTTCAAAGCTTCAAAATGAGACATTGCATTGGCCTCAGAATGCCACGTTAATCCCATTTCTGAGGACCTCAATTTTAAAAAAATTTGTGGGGGACCACCTTTGGTGGTCCATATCTCAAACCCCCTTCTCTAAAATTCTGTATCTGCCCCAGAGGTGAGATGCTAGTCCACCCCAGGGTTATGCCCTGGCATTATATTTCAGCAGTACTCATTGATACGCTTAGTTGGAGAGAGAGGCACCCTGAGAGTGCACAATGACCCAGTGCAATAAGGGTATCTATTAATAGTGATTACCATCACTGTTACTTAAAGTTACACCCCTAAAAAGGCTAGATGTGTGGATACACTGTGAGAAAGACCATCCCTCTCCCCTGATGTTCCAAGTATGCATATTTCATGGTAGTAGATATGTGGTGAGAGAGACAATGCCTCCCTATACTGCACTCCTTTCACTTGAACAGCAGACTTTTAGAAATAACTAAATATAATGCATTTCCTTTCACCTAACCAACTTTTGAGTGGTAAATCAAAAATTTGATTGCAGGTAGATCAGTATATAGGGAGGTGGCCTCATGGTTAGTGTGCTCAACTCCAGAGCGAGTGGTCTGGGTTCGAGCCCTGGCCAGGGACATTGTGTTGTGTTCTTGGGTAAGACACTTTACTCTCACAGTACCTCTCTTCATCCAGGTGTATAAATGGGTACCAGCAAATTTAATGCTGGGGGGTAACCCTGCGATGGACTCACATTCCATCGAAGGGGGAGTAGAAATACTTCTGGTCGCTTCATGCTACTGAAACCGGGATAAGCTGCGGCCTGATGAACCACTTGGCTCGTATGCAGACTTTACCTTACTTAGATCTGCATATCCATTTTAAACAAACTATTGTATCAGGCGTTTCTGACTGCATATCCACTTCCTCAGCCATAATTTTTAGGAGTATCATTACCTACCGTAAAAGTGGTAGGGTTTTCTGCAGTACAGTTAATTGCTATAATCAAATCCCTTCCCCACCCGCTCTCCTGTGATATGTTGAGCCTGTTGTATAACTGACACTAAGTCTTGAATTTTCTCTTACTCCAGGGCAAAGCGTTTGTACAATCCCCCCTACATGGTCTATATCTTTCAACATATCGATCCCATGGTAGCTAAGTAACCGGTCATTTAGCCTCCAAGTGGATTAGCCCCTAACCTTTTAGCCCCCAGCCAGAAGTCAATTAGGTTGAGGGCTGACCAGCCAGGGGCTAATCAACTTGGGGGCTAAATGACCAGTAACTGATTGCTCAATCCCAGGTGTATCTGGTGTAAGCTAATGAATTCATAAGTGGCTATCCTGTGAACAGGCTCCTGGCTGGGTTTAGTCCGAGCTATCTGAATGTGGTCTAGGGCGAGCAGAGTGAGCCAAGAGTGGTCTGGTAACAAGAGAGAAAGCATGGGAGCATGAAGACATTCTATTGATGCCGCTGTTCCATGATACCAGTTCCTGGTGTCAAGGTCTGATTGGTTGAATTGATGACTGTTGACAGCTTTAAGATAAATATTTGACAGATCTTGACAACGGCTGGTAAATTTACAAAATTTTTGGTGGCGTGTCGGCAAAAATTTTGCTTACATGCCGCCGTGTGGTTCTTTGTTTTTTTAACCTTAAAAACTGAAACCACCGGCACTCTTTTCCCTTCAGGCGAATTCAATAACTTTTTACAGAAACAGCAAATATGATCCTGTTCACTTTGCATTTCCTCGTTCCACGATACCCACGTGGGGTAGAATGTTATCAAAAGCCAATACATCAGCACGGGAAAAAAAAACATCAGATCTGACTGGTCTAATTGCCTTCTTAACTGATTTGTAACAGGCTAATAACCACGGGGCGGACCGGCGCATAAGAAACTAATTGTCTACAGGCTCCACCGCTCTCACTCGCTTCGCTCGCAGATTCTTAATTTCACACTAAACGGCTCGCTTGGCTCGCCGAAATTTTTTACCGCCCTCGCTCGGAGCCTGTTCGCAGGCTAATAAGTGGCCGGATATAAACCCCGCAATGAGGTTACGCTCACTTTTGTTCTCAGGGGGAAAAATTGATCAGATCTTAATACGGCTGATCAGGTTAATGAAACATAATAATAACACCGCAAATTCTTACCAAGCAACGGGCCAGATGCTCCTTTGAAGACAGGAATGTCTGTGCTATTGCACAACTCCAGCACTTTTAGGACATTGACACAAACTTTGTCTATAGGCGTATTGCCAGCAACGCATGTGATCGCAATAACCTCAACGTCTTGGGCAGATAAGGCCAGCAGTATAGCTTGTGCATCATCGATGCCAGCATCGCAATCAATAATTATCTTTCTCTTTGCCATAATTTGACCTATTCAACACGCTTCCTCATCCTTCCTAATGCGAACGATCGATGCGAAGTGCGTGTTCAAACCAACTGCTCAGCGGTGCAATCGGAAGCGGTAGTCTAGATAATTCATGTATTGTGTACTATAGTGTATTCAGAATTTCTCGGGTTTCTTGGCCGGACGAGAGGAGGGGCAAGGGGTTGCGTAATGAGGTTAAGCTGGGACCGTGAGATCAACGTGAATAAGCTCAAGTACTAGGATAAACATTAAATAGTGAGGACACTCGAGCTATGATCACTTGACATTTTTGTACATGTTTTTAAACGGCAAAAGAATGAAAGCCCTCCAGACAATGTACAAGATTGGCATTTTTTCAATGTAAAATTGCTGAGTGCTCTTGTTAATATGAAGAGCCCTCATTCTGTGATCACTGCAAAAAAGATGTTTAAAAAATGCCAAGTGTTCACGGTTTGAGTATCCTCGCAGTAATAAGGCAATGCAAAACATAACGAAGGATTTCTACGGCCAAATAACAACCATAACTGCACAATGCAAACACGGAACAATAAAACGAAGGGGTAGCTATGGCCCGATGGTACTCCATATAAGAGGCTCTACCTCTTTTAGTCCTCTCCTCTGGGATTTGGAAAATTGAAACACGCACTGGTGGAACATATTCCACCAAGTGTGTTACAGAAGGGTGTCTGGGCCGGCTAACCTCTTCTTAGGTTATGATTACCACGATTAGAAAATATAAGGTGTGATTTGCCGCACATTTAAATCAAAGATCATAGCTATTTTGGCTTTAATCTGATCCCAGTGAAGTGTTGTATCGTGACATTATTGTTGATTGACTCCTGTTGTCTCGAACCGCTTGGAAAGCCAGTCACAAAAGCGCATCGGGAGAGTTCTCGACGAACGCGTGTTCGAAAAGCTGTCGCAGGATGAGAATTTTTCAACGCAGTATTTTCAGACGTTTCCTTTGCTTGCTTTTATTGTTTACTGTGACTTCCCTGCTGTATGTATACGTCGTAAATAAGCGGCATTTGAGTGGATTTCGACGGACGCGCCATCGCATCACGTAAGTAGAAGAAATTGTGTGGATTTGACTACGAAGGTATTGATAGATCTTGCGGATGGAAGTAGGCACTGATGAAATTTTTACTGATCCTAGAATCAAATGTTAACAAAATGAGAATATTCGTTCTGTCTGATCCTGTCTATCTATGTATGTTAAAACAATTTCATTTACTGTCGCGCGATGAACATAATAAGTCTAGTAAAAATGGCGCAATATTCCGGTTTCTTTCCAAGGTTTAAGACTCAGGCTTTCGGATTTGCCAACCACAGTGTAACCAAAGGGAGCTCTAGCCCGTTTCAACAGCGTCGACAAGTTATATATTCAAGGTGAATTACGAGAATTTTGAGACGTCCGAAAATAACTGGCTACGAAAGCGGAGACTGTCTGAAAGAGCACACTTTATTACTTGGTTTTCAGACTTCTTGTTTGGAACAACATATATAAATGCACCCTCTGCTATGTGGGTTCCCCGTTCGATCTTTCCTAGAGGAATTGGCAAAATGCTCAACTTTTCTTGATTTTCCCCGGGGAAGGTTGAAGGAGGGTTCTGCTAACAGGATAACATAGTAACTAGTAGGATTGCTAACTGCATGTCCAGTGTCATGCATTCAACATTGGTCATTATTCAATTTATCAGCAGACTGATCGTGCGGTGTTTTATGGCAGACCCTTCCCCGTCCTTGTCCAGAGATCTCGGCTTTAGTCAGCGCGGCCTAGTATCGAAGGACTCTCATTAGTTGGGACGGAATTGATCATCATCATGAGCCGCAGTATTTAGTTATTCTTCTCAACAAATAGTCGGAGCTAAGAAAAAATAATGATTATCTCTCTTCCGAAACTATTTAGGCACTTGGGATGGAGGCACTGTGAGACTTTATTAAAAGGAAGGTGTTTTCTCTAAGATCTCAGATATGGCGTGTTTTCAGGGTCAAAATTAAAACCTAACTTTTCCACCTTTCCTTACTTGCTAAGTAAAATGTCTGTCATTTCCTGTCTTTGAAATTAGACAGTACGCATCCCTTTTGACCTCCGAAACAATACATTCCGCGTTTCCTGAATACTAAAATCATAACGTCCGGCATATTTTGACCTTTGAACAAAATTCTCCGCGTTTCCTGACTTCTCTCGAATTTTAAGTCCGGCATGTTCTGACTT